TACAACACTAAAGCCATTACCTTCCTTAATGCCCTCATTAACTTCATGTAGGTAGGTACCGTGTATTATCAACTTTGGCTCAATCTTCAAATTCCAGCAAGACCTCTCAGCCTGATGCAGGGAATACATTTTCAGAAGTTTCTGTAGGCTTAACAAAGCGGAATTCAGTATTTATTCCACCCCCTTTCTTCCCCCCACCCCCCTCTGGCTGCCAATTTATAGTTCTGTCTTTCTAAAGTTATCCTGCTAGGTCACCACACTGTAGAAATAGTTCAGATGAAAACTGAGCATGCTGCTTACATGAAGTCAGAAGACTATGATTACCTCTCATAATTGGGAACAGTTGTTGCAAGAGACTTAATTCACATCTCATGTTTATTTGTTACTAGAAGGCAATGCAACCTTTTTAAAGTTATTCCTTCCACTTGGTAATACAGCTTTTGTATGCACACGGTTCACAGCAAGCTGGTAGTGAGCACATTTCTCTTTACCAAAGGTTAGTACTTTGCCCTTGATCCCATGGACCATTGCTATCCCGTGAGGAAATTGTGTAAAACCATAAAAAGCTTTGTCACACATTTGGATTATTTCCAGTACAAAACAATGACACAAAAGCATCATTAAAATCCAGCAAGTTAGCTACAGACCAATGTCACTACTGCATAACAGAAAGTAAGTTGCTCTGTTAGAGCAGATCTTCCATTTAAAGCATATCTGTATTATGATCACCCTGCTCCACAGCTCTGCTTTTGTGTAACTTACTCTCAACATACAAATTTTGAATTTGATATTTGCAAGAAGCGTTTCTCAGGACAACTCAACCAACACAGTCACTTTCTAGCTCAAAATTGTGCGAGTTTTGTCTGACACTTTTGAACTGAGTCACTAATGACCTTTGTGGCAAGATCTTACTCTCAGGTCAGAGAAGAGAACTTAATCTCTGGGCAGCCTCTTGTAAGAAACTCCAAGTACTTCACATTTCTCTTAGAGAAACCCTCAAGTATTTCCTCATACGCTGCTATGAGACAAAAGACTTGGTAACCACTTCTTAAGGCTCTGGTCATTGCCCATCTTGCTGATAGGTATTGCTTTCTGTGACTTAGATTTTGTTACATGCATCTTGGGCTGCCTTTGTTATTTGTGTTTCTACCACAACGCATTCAATGCAGCTCTAGTGTGGTAGCCAAACTTAATAGCATTTTCTCCCATGCCTGCACCACAACTGAAAGCAATTTTTAGCTGGTAACTTATTACACTGATTCAAGTTTCAGCTACTCTCTTCCAACTTATATTTTAAAGGACCATTTTCATGTAAGCGTTCTCCTTATCATTTACACTCCACAAACACAAGAAAGTCTTATCCATAGGGGGCAAAGGCTCAACAAACAAGTTACTGATCACTTGGATGGAAATACACAGGTCATGTTAATCAAAGAAATAGCAAAATGCCATGAGAGTTATGTGTCATCAATGACAGTCTCTGTTCTGCAAAAGCCAAGCAGATGACTAAGCTCAGGTGGGTGGAAAACTTCAAAAACCATACTGTAGCCAATCTCTTCCTAATGAAGTCTATGGAGAACTGATTAGCAACAGCAATGATATCAAGCCTCAGCCCTTCTGGAATAAATGTTCTCAGTATCTGTAAATGCTGTCAGAATTAGCTTTTATGTTTTATTTCTTTTGAGCGTTTTGCAGAGAGCAAGGCGCTAGTGCCATAAATGCATGTCCTGTTAGTACCTAGCATTGAGGTATCATGTGTCTTGCCTTGGAGCACCCAAACACTTCCACTTCCAAAAGATTGATTTTTTTTTTTTTTTCAGGACTCTGTAAGATCCACATAGCAATTAAAAAGGTAAATTAGCCAGATACTGTCTTCACATCTACTTGTTTAAAAGTCTTCAAAATGCTGCAACCTAGAGTAAAATCATACTGAGTAGGCTTGTCACAACAGCAGCAGTTGCATAATTTGGAAGAGACTCTACAGCAGCATCAGCAGCGTAATGCTGCTGGGATACTTGCCATTTGAATAGATTTCTCTATGAAAAAGACATCTTTTACACATGTTTATCATGACTTCAGAAGTGCTTTGCTGAGTAGAATCTTCCTCATGCAGCGGACATGCACAATGCTGTAACGTGATAGAAAATACAGCAACGATAGCTAAATAGCAAAGTCCTAGGCTACAGCAGTTAAGAATGTGCTCAAACACAGCAACCATAGACAGAGAAACAGAGAAAAATCTACTTACAGTTGGAAGGCCCAGGGTAGGCAGGGATCTTGAGCAAGATACCCTTACCTCCACTTATCTCACCTTAGATGAGGTCTGGAAAGGGTTGGAGCCAGGATCCACTCCTTCCAGTCACTCAGGTGCATTGTATGCACCTGAGCTCCCCTGAGTTAGCCCTGCCTTCCCACCAGGTGCTCAATCACTGCTTCAGGCTGTGACTTAGCATTTCTGCTACAGCGTGTAAGCTTGTTTTCTTCAGCCACTATGTGTCTATCAGTTTCCATCATCAACATATGGGAGAAAACAAACAAATATAAAAAAAGAAAAACAGAACAAAATAAAATATCTTTTTCAGTATAAATAGGTATGTTGTTTTAGCAATATTTATAATCATGACAGTTATGGGCATATTTTAAGGTGGCTTGGTTCTTCATGTCTTAATTAAAAAGCCATAATACAATAGTCTTATATATGCAACAAAATGACTTGGGTATGCAAGCTCATGCTGGTTTAAACTGAACTAATCTGTTAAAAATTCTCTGAGAACTGTTGTGGAACAAACACACACAAACACACAATCTCTTTTGCAAACTGGGCCAGGCAGAAGCACTTTATTTCCAAGCTATAGAAGATAACGCAGAGTGACAAAGGTTCAGCCCAATATGAACATGAGCTCTGAATTAAAAAGAAAAAAGAAAAATAGGGCATATTTACTTCTGTAGCAGATGAAAAGTGCTTTGTGAGGGGGCCTGATAGGGCAGAGCTGCATCTGCGCAGAAGGATGAGTTGTTATCACAACTGCGAGGTGTGTTCCTGATATCTGGGAACCTGCAGCCGATCCGCCTGGACTTACCTCTGCTCACCAGTGACATTGCTGTGTCCTTGATCAGTTTTTAGGCTCAGTGAGGCCCGCTTCTATAAAGAAGCAATTAAAATTCAAGTTGTAGGGTTGTTTGGGTTGTGTTTTTTTGGGTTTTTTTTTTTTTTTTTTTCAATTTTTACTTCAAATTCTAGTCTTGTCAAAAGCAATTGAATTTTGGTTGAAAACGCAGGAAGTCTGAAGAATTTTGATGTTACTGTAGTTGTAAAAGTTCATTTCAGGCTGGGACCATGCTACCAAAAACATGTGCAACACTTTGGGAAATGGGACCAGCAAAATAGTTGAATACACAGCTGCGAAGCCAGCTAAATGGTCTGCCGAAGAGGAAAACCGTTTTTTGCGATAGTGTAAGAGAAACACTGACACCACGAGGAGCTGCACTTCTGTAAAATATCACCTCCGCTTGCTTAGCTAGCAGCATTTTCTCATACCTGCACTGCTCGCACACCAGGCTGTGGGCTCAGGAGCCGCCACCAGGGGGCGCTGCCCACACAGGCATTGGTGACACCAGCTGTGCGATCTGCGAACGGCGTTCCTCCAAAGCCGCCTCCAGGCGGGACCCTCGACAGGCAACGCAGCTGTGAGGAGAAACGGCCTTAAAACAGGCTGAAATACGCCTTGTTTGGTGTGACGAGAAAGACCTTTCACGTCTGAGAGCCTGTAAAAGTTGCAGTGTTAAGCTGGGATAGCTTAACACTATCTCACTACTGCTACTGCTAAGCAGAGAAAAGTATATGAGAAAAACGCCTTCCTCCAGTACAAATCCAAACACGGTAAAGGGGGGGACAGGGCGTTTAAAGAGAGAACCCGCTGACGCGGTGTGGGTGGAGTGACAGCAGGCAAAGCCCTCGGCGTACATAGGCGGTCCCTTCGGAGTGCAGCCATCGGGGCGTGGTGCCGGCAGTACGCGCAGGGATGGTCGGCTGCCTCTCAGACTACAAATTTAGCCATGGTATTCAGTAGACAGAAAGCTCTCGCCAAAAAGAATGTGGGATTTCAGTTCTCTGGCTGTAGGGAGTGCTTGAGCCTGTTGGTGCCGGTGGAGGGCGTCAGGCACACCGCCTGCGTGAGACGCGGGCAAATGGGTGATGTGCTCAGGATGGTGGCTGAGCTCGAGGAAGAAGTGGAGAAGTTAAGGAGCATCAGGGAGTGTGAGCAGGAGAGAGACTGGTGGACTGACTCCCTGCTGTACACGTGAGAAAAGAACTGGGGTAATACCCCTCAAACAGTGGTGGATCCCTCTCCTGTTGCTGCCAGGCAAAAGGAGGGGACCTAAGAGATTGGAAGGAATGGAAACAGGTCTCAGCTCAGTGTTGCAAGCAAATCCCATGCCTATCTACCTCATTTCCCAGGTGCCACTACACAATAGGTTTGAGGCTCTGGAACTTGAGGGAAAGGTGAGTTAGGATGCGGTGGGAGATGTACCAAGGAGGTTGTCTAGGGTGAGGCAGTCAATTCCATGCCTCAAGAAGGAAAGAAGGGTAACTGTAGTAAGCTACTCCCTTCTGAGGGGAACAGAGGGCCTCCTACCCATAGCAAAGTGTACTGCCTACCTGGGGCCCAGGGCAGAGGCATTACTAAAAAACTTCATGGTCTGGTTCAACCCTCTGATGATTAACCTTTAGTTATAGTTCAGGCTGGAAGCTATGAAGTTGCTGAGAGAAGTTTGAAGGCTATCAAAAGGGACTTCAGGGCATTAGGGTGGTCAGTTGATGCAACAGGAGTACAGGTGGTGTTTTCCACTAGCCCTTCAATGGCAAGCAAGGGAAACTGAGAGGATGAGGGAAACCCATCTCATAAATATGTGACTAAGAAGCTGATGCCATCACAAGAATTTATTTTTATTTTTATTTTTATTTATTTTTATTTTTATTTTTATTTTTTTTAACTATGGGGCAGTTTACTCAGTGCCTGTGCCAGGAGAGGTTCAGGTCCAGGAGTAGTCAGGCACTGGAACAGGCTGCCTAGGGAGGTGGTGGAGTCACCATCCGTGGAGGTGTTCAAGAAATGTTTAGATGTTGTACTGAGGGACATGGTTTAGTGGGGAAATATTTGTGGTAGGTGTACAATTGGACTAGATAACCTTGGAGGTCTTTTCCACCCTTAGTGGAACTATGATTCTGTGATATACAACCTCCATTAAAGTTATGAAGTAAGAACAGCTCTTCAGTGGTAATCACAAAAGTATAAGGAAAATACGTGTTCTCGTTCAAGGAAAGATCTGTCCCTACAATGCATAAGAAAAATAAAGTGATGAAGGTCATTAGAATATTACTGTAATTGTCTCTTGGAACAACTGGTCAGGTTCATTGGTAATAGTGCCTGTTAAATGCATCATGCATGACTACTTGCTGCTGTTAGTAGAAGCAGGCACCGTGGTTACTAGCACTAAAAGGTGCACGAGTGTAAACAGCCAGAGCAGCAGTAATACGTGAGCATTAAAGCTGGGCATAATACACATGAAAAGCATCAACAACTTCAATGGGCTGCTGCTTCCTAGCAGGCAGTAGGTTGTGCTCTCTCCTTGTGGCCCTGGGTTCACATGACCACCATGATGTCTTCTAATGGCTTTCGAGTCAATGCAGGCACAGTGGCATCTTTCTTGGGATAGCCCACAGGGAGCAGCAAGAGCAACTTCTCGTTGGCTGGGCGCTGGAGCAGCGCCCGCAGCTGGGGACCGCAGTTCAGGGGTGTGGTGGTCACTGTGTACAGACCAGCATTCTGCAAGGAGACAGGAGCAGAGTGAAACAAAGGTCTGTGCTGGGTGCTTTTGTAATCATTATTCTCCTGAGACCTGTACACATTCTCATACTGACTAGGCCAGAAATACTACTTTATTACACTCTTCTGCAGGCTTTAGAACATCTGATTTACTTATTGCCTCAGCAGTGCCGTGAAAGATGCCTATTTTGCCTGCAGGGAAAAAACAAAGCAAAACAAAACACCAGCAACAAACCAGCATCTTTCCACTGCAGCAACAGCTCAGGCTAATGGAAATAGCTCTATACTCTAACATAGCTGTACTTTGTATAGCAGGAGTCTGCCTGTGGTGTGCATCATGATGGGGAATCTGCGGCTACAGTGAAGATGAGAGGCACTTGTGGAGATTTCACTGGAATATCGCCCCATGGGGTTCATCACTCACACAGAGAAACGTTTTGGTTCTAAAAATCAGATTGTTGGCAGGAAGATGTCTTACAGCTTTCTGAATGTTTGTTCCTGCTCAAGTTCTGTACCTCACAGGGATAGGAGACACAGGCTCTGCCTCAGAACTCGTCATAGGAGTCTATGACAAACATTCTGGCTTGCGTCAGAAATCAAAAATAAGCTTGTGCATCATTCTGCCCTCATGTGAAATGTCACACACACACACAAAAAAAGTGAAATGATCTGACAAATAAGAAAGAGCTGACACTATCCAAAAATCATTACCACACAGCTGAGGTGCTTCCTGAGCATTGCGCACATGGATTTCAGTCTCTTCCTGCATGTAATGCAAAGCATGTTGGTTGGCTTTGAGATGCAAAAGGCAGACACTCAGGCAATGTGCCTCTCGTATTCAATAGTATCTATGATCTTCTGAAGAGGAGAAAAGCTAATAGTAGTTCATGGCACTGTGTCATTTAGTGTTGTCAATTAACTTCTAAGAGCTGGGGAAGAGATAGCACTAAGGAGCCTGACAGTGGGTAGGGAGTCTCAGAAGTCCCACCTGATGGTGAGCTGGCAGAAAGTGGAGCTTTATCACTCCTACATCTTCTAATTTAGGCACCTGTGACATAGTGCTTGTTCTGCTCTATTCCTTGTGCATCCCCTTTGCTGTCAGCTCTACAGGGAGAAAATAGAGGCTCCCGTGCAGCTGCAGAACAGCAGCACCCCCAGTGATGTGCATCTGCATCGCCCTCTTCTCAGACATCCCATCCTGAAGATTCTCCTAAGGAACAGCAATTCAGGCAGGGAAATGTCACTCAAAACAGAATGGAGGAGAAATGGCAGTTCCCAGTAGGGAACTGGCCTAATATAAGAGGTGTCAGCTTGCAGTTATCCTGCTGACAGTCCAAGCTAACAATCAGAACATCTTCATTATTTAAGTACTTGTGTGAGTACATCAAATACATCAAGCAGAAGTGAGCGCTGAGAAACCACAGAGAAAATCCAACTGGTTGGTGTCAAGCATGCTGAGCTTTCGAAATCAGTACATTTTCAGAAATATCTCAGAAAGGCTGACTGAAATAGTATAGTCTGTTCGGTAAAATATGTCCCTGATATTTTTTCCAGCATTGTGAACTAAATCGATTCAGGGTCAAGCCATTTTTTAGAGGTTACTGAAAATGTGGTGCTGTACAGCCATACTTTGGTAACCTACAGACCTTTGTCATCCCTGTTAACGTAAAGCAGGAACTACATAAGGCAGAAACCACAGATGCTGAAGTCTGTGATAGGAGGACATTGACAACTCTAAAAGTGAGTTGCATTGCATTTTTCTTCTTCTTAAGCAGTACTGACAATAGGAATCAGCACAGACAAGGGTCTATGCAGAGTAACTTTAAAACTCAAAACTAAGATGTACTGTCAGGATTTGGACAGTCTGGGGGACTGAATGTTAAAATCTGTATTGGGTTCCACCCTTATTTTGGCAGAACAGTTTTGATATGTAATTGAAACCAATATAGTGACTTCTCAGTGTGCCAGTTCTGTCAACATACCTGCAGTGCAGCAAGCAGCATGCCACAGGCAATAGATACACTGATTTCATTGTAGTAGTGGGTCTTCTTTTTGCCATTTGGAAGTCTTCCATACACCTGCTTGAAAATAAGGATCAGATAGGGGGCAGTGTCCAAGTATTCTTTGATCCAGTTTGTTCTGCAAAAGAATAATATTTAAGACATTTATTTTGCAACTCTTTCACTTTCCCTAAGTCACATTTGCTATCTTCAAAGGTCCAGTAAAGGTGACAATTATAGCAGTAGACTAAAACTTAAAACATATTCTGTAGAGGATTAAGTATTATCAGCTTAAACAGAAACATTTCTGCAAAATGCCTGAATAGAGTTCTGAGGTTTAACACATTCAACTGAGGAACTGAAAAGTAGAATTGCAAAAAATAGGAGCGAGGTCTTGACATCTTATCTATGAACTAGCCTCACGAGCATTTGTCCTTAAGATGATTTAATTCCTAAAATTTTGCAGACCTGCAGCTCTACCTGTTGTCATCAATGCCAACATTTTTGTGATTGTAGGGAAAACAGCTAACAGAAAAGATCAGAACTGTTTGGTCTAAGGCATAAACCTGAATATAACAACAAATGTTGCTATCCTGTTGCTGGATATTTCAGCCCTATTAGAATTTAGTTGGTTCCCAATTTGTTACAGTGGGAATACATACAGAAATGATGTCAGATTTAGGGTTTTTTTTTTTTTAAGTTTATTTTGTACTGCTCTCATTCAAAACATAAAAAGCACTTCATTTTAGTAGTTTACAGAGCACATAAGCACCTGAAAAATAATAGTTTTCTAAAAGAAAGAGAACAAATTAACCCTGTAAAGCCTGTGCATATGCTTCAATTGACAAGCTAAGACTCACTATATGTCTTCCCATTGTGTAGAGTTAATCAAGTCAAATAGACTTTGTAGGGCATTTCAAAAAATTACATATTGCATAATTCAACACTTTCATAAAGTCCAGCCTTCAGACTACCACCGCCAAATGCAAAATTCCTACTAACTTTGGGGACTTCATGCCTTGGCGAATAACAGGGAAAAAATGGGAAAAATTTCTGGCAATAGAGATTATATAGAAAAATAAAAATGACAAAGTCAAACGCTTGGAAAAGTCTCAAGATGGAGAATGTGTAATCTCTTTTAATCAAGGGAATTTTATGGATCAGCCACCATATCAGCTACGCATATATTTTTAGGTTTCTCTTGCCAATCTTATATCTTAGAAATATCTAAAAACAGAGAAGGAGAAAGAAAAGGAAAAGTATACTAGAAGAAATCACGATAGGCTTCTTTTATCATTTTAATATTCTAGACTATGGTGTTTTCAAGAAGATTTTCGTTATCTTGAAAATCAAGACAAAGCCAAACAACAGTGAAGGGTATGCTGAACATTCAAATCACTTATTTCATCCTTTTTTTGGTAAGACTGAAGCACAGAGTCATAATGTGTAGCCAGAATTAACATAAAAAAATATAAATGCAACTCCTGCTGGGGGGAGGGAGCTTCAACTTTCTTCAGACAGGAGTTTGGGAAGAAGACCAACTGAAAATTAGTAGAAGGATCACAGTATAGAGCACCACACTGGCTGGGACAGCCTATGACCTCATCTTTCTTCTTTCTCTTCAATCAGGAAGTGGGAAATGTTTACAGCTGCCCTTCTGTGCAGCATCAGATAATGGGGGAAATGGGGGATTTGAAAGAACATCTTTAAAAAAAGATTTTAAAAAAATATTTTCTTTTTTTTTTTTTTCTTACTGAAAATAAATGCCAAAATACAAAAAGAAAAGCATGGATAAAATTCTCAGTATAGTTTTTCCTAGACCAAAACACATCTCCCTCCAACACTCTTAACCAACTCATCTTTTCATACCTTAATCTCTTCAGGTCATTGACCCATCTATCTCCCATCCTTTTTTTGTAGTTTATTTCTTCTTCTTCTTCTACAATCTCCCGAATCTTATGTTTTAAATCTGGATCTTGCACTACCACAAAGGTCCAGGGCTCAGTGTGCGCTCCACTGGGTGAAGTACCTTAGTACAAGAATGGAAAAAGATGAAGAGGCAGCTAGCAGAATGCTGGGAGAGGGGGTGCAGTGAGAGGTATAAGCTCTTCCACCTGAGCTTTCAACTGATTATCAGAGCAATGGAAAAGAAAGCTGACAAACTGGGAGAAAAGGGCAGAGATACGTTCTAGCAGACAACCTCTGCATTTGTAAGTGTAAAATTCCATCCAGTGACTGAGGTTACTCCTTTCAAATTGCCATTTAGCAGTTAGGAAAAGTCAAGGATTTGTAAAAATTCATTTGTGGTTCTTTATGATAAGGTAATATTGTGATGCAATATATTAATATTAACATAATATTAATGCAAATTATTATGCCCAAAGCAGCACATCATCTGAATATGCAACAAATTCAGAAATGGTTTTAGCTGAAGGGCAAAGCTAATAGCTTTCAAGGAAAGAAGTCTAACCACCCACAGGAATCTGTCACTAGCTGACAAATAAGAGGAACTGCACAATGCAGACACCTGCCATATAGCATGCAGGTTTGCATTTGTTGTCCCAAAGACAGCTGGTCTATGTACGTATTCAATCTCCACTTGCTCATTCAGCCCTGATCATTACACATTGATACTACTGGAGAATATTTTAAATGCCTAACAGATGAAAGCCAGTAGCTGAAGGATATAGTCGTCTGTGCAAGCTCGCAGAGAAATAGGGTAAAGAACACTGTTCACATCTCTCTAGCTCAACATAAACACTTAAAAAATATTTGAAATTCTTGGATACATGCTACATTGGCTCATGTGAGCACTGAATTCATCTTGAGAAACACTGAATAAGCAGCTTGAACTATTTATCTTTTATATTAAAATGTGTTTGTATCAAGAACTTCATCTCTCCCTCGGGTTTGGATAAGAACTGATGACATTTATGTTTTGCATTGTTTTCTTTTCCTATGCACAGCCCAAAGCTTTCAGGGTTACAAAGTACTTCATCTGTACTCCAGGCTTGTTCACTTTGCTGCATTTGCTAAAACATGTTCAGTGTTCTAATGACTTCCAGCTAATTAGAGGAAGATGGAGTCTCGTTACATTGCAGTAACAAAGCTGATTACAGTTTTAAAGAGAAAACAATGCACCTCAAATGCTAAGAATCTCCTTATTAATAATCCTATTAATGTCTATTGAACTTTCCTCTAAGGTAGCTTATGAATATTATTCTGTACTAACAATGTAGTGGCAAGTTCATAGAATTAAGATAAATAACGAGTGTCAGACACACTACTGGCTGAAGTCAGTGTTACTAAAGCAGAAATGAGATTAGATGAGGACATTACAGTGATGATTTGAAACACATGAGTTCTAAAAAAAAATGAAAATTCATATTTGATCCTCAGCCAAACCATGATCAATGTCCTCTGCATACATCCCAGTCATGCAACAGGACCTTGGCACTGATACTGAAAAGACTAGAAAAGTTCTATTTTTTCTCCTAAAGGGAAACCTTTTTCCAAAAAATAAAACTTAACCATTTACGTTATCTGAAATGTTCCTCACATCTGAGTCAAGCTCATAAATTTGTCTGGGCAAAAACAACAACCAAAAAATATATGTGATGAATATCATGAGGAACGAAATTTGAAAGCACATGAAGTACACATGGTTTGACGTTTTTTGAGAGAAAACAATTTCACTGAAATGTATTTAAATTTTATTTAAAAATACCTTTAAAAGATTAAAAATGAAGTATTCTTTTCACACTTTTAATTTTTTCCCTTTTAGGTGCATTAAAACTATAAAAGTAGTGCTCCAAACAAGTCCCTGATATACAGTCATTGAAGCTGATTAATTTCCAAGCAGTCAATGAGTGCTTCCTCATTATGGCTTCAGATGAGTCTAGGAAGACTATAATCCAAGTGCCAATTCCCATGGCTTTTTCATATCACTTTTACACAGTGGAACAGCCATACTGAAGGTTGGGGTTTTTTTCAGACTTTAAACATTGCAGTACCTACCTGCTGTTCTGATGACATTATCAATAACCTCCCTGGGGACTGGCTCATCACTGAGAAACCTGACAGACCGCCTCTTATCAAGAAGCTCATAAAATGACCGTGACCTTTTAATCATTTCAGCCTCAGAGTAGCGCTCTGCAATGAAGGGGACATGGGCAACATTTTCATCAACTCCTTGCCACTCTTCATCAACCTCTGCAAGAAAATAAAAGTGGTTAGGGAATTTTTTTTTTTTTAGCTGGAGAACGCTGAAATCTTTGACATTTACTGCCATAATGCACTTTGGTCTGTATTGACATACATTGCACTTCTACACTATCGAAAAGCCAAAGTCTGAGGTTCCCGTTGACACAACTCACTGATCCCAAGTTCCAGCTATCATAAAAACTTTGTTTAAGTACCAAGAGGCAGAAGAAAAATGGCTGTAGAACTGTGATCCAGGAAGAAGTTACACCCTTCAGCTCTACAGTCTGCGAGCATTCCTGTAAAAGTGGATTATAAGCTGAAAAAGCAGTGAAAAGGTGGGCAGCTTTTCAACCCACTTTTCTCAGTAAGCAAATCTGAACACGTATATGCATCCCCAAGCAGTCTAATAAGAAAAAAATCAATCAAATAACTGAAGTTAAGAAGAAAGCTTAACTATCAAGATGTGTAAGATTTCCTCTGAAGAGCTGAATGTCAGCTTCTTCCTATGTTCATGTTTCATAGGCTATGTGCAAATGGGACTTTGTGGTTAAGTTCTTTGGTTTCATGGGACTTTCAGCAAAAGGGGAAATGGGTAATAGGCATTTATACTTGGGATAACATGTCAAACACGGGGTATTGTGTTTCTTGTTTTTAATTTAAGAACTCAGAATGGTTCCTAATTTTACTGCTTTAATTTCTTTTTTTTAATACCATAAAATACATCTTTTGGTCTCTCTGAAATCTATTTTTTTCTCCTCTGTGTTCCTAGAATTAACAGTGGCATTTTTTGCCTCTGTGATATGGAAGTTAAAAGCATTTAAATTTTGCATTTCTGCTAGTCGATAGTATTGAGCAATCTGCTACAGAGGGCTGAGTCAGGAAAAAATATTCCAGTTCTTTTCCAGTTGCCATTAGGCTGTTATTTCAAAATCATAGCAGTCTCCAATTCAAATTCAAACAGCAGCTAATTCTGTGTTTTTGTAGTATGTAGTTGCCTTAGAGACCAGGATGATTTTTGTTAATTTTATAAATACCAGTGAAATATTCACAAGCGTGGCTCAGCTTATGCAAGGGGATGCAACATATCCAGTTGCACATGTTGGATCTAAACAGTGATTCTGAACCCCCAATAACATGTTTCATTTTATATACAAATAAGTCATCCAGAAAGTTTGTTCCTTTTAGCATTTCACAGCTGTGTTAGGCATGCTCAGTCAAGCCTGCAAGAACATGGCTACAATGGCATGGGAAGCAGAGACCAATTGTAAAAATTATTTTGTGGGAATCTTAAAACCCAAATTCTCCTCTTGAAGGACTTATAGGCCTGAAGCTGGATCGCTGCCTGCAGCTGGCCTCTCAAAAACCATCTTGTGTATGCAGGTATTTCTGATGTAACCAACATACTCGTTGCTGAACTGAGAATTAAAAGTAACACAGACTGACACACATCCTAATTTTATCTACAGGCACTTACATAAGGAGTTTCTAAATGGAAAAAAATATTGTCTTTATGATAACAAAAATCTCTGAAATCAGCTAAGGTTGTGCATGTGTATCATAAGGCAGAATGTGACCAGAAAACTATACTGAATTTATGTATTGGATAGTGTCCTGGTGAAAATTTCAAGTCAAACTATATTATTTATGCTTATACCACTATACTGTAGTCACCATTCCTATTCATTTCCCAAGCTTACCATATTGAGTGTTCTGAGAAACAGGAATAGGATACTTCTAGTCTATCCATAATAACTTAGAAATAGTCCAATAAAAACTTAGCCCCAATAGCTCTTATGTGCTCTCATTATTTACTTTCATATGATGAGGTTTTACCAAAATTCAGAAGACAGGAAATAACATACATACAATGCACTGTACCTTCTATTTTTTTTTTTTTTTTTTTCTGGTGATGGAAACTTTACAGTCTAACTTTGGCTCCTAAGCTTATCCAAGCCCTGCTTGGACATCTCTTTTTCTACTATTATTGCAAAATCATCAAAAATCCTTTTGAGTCAGAGATATGGAAACCAGTCTATATACAAATAAAACCTTTACAAAAGAGGTTTGTCAAGTAGAAGTTTAATGCTGGAGGAAATCTGTGTAATCTCTATACCTGATTTTGAAACACGCGGAGAGGAAAGTGGAGTAAATGATAAACCATGAATATCGAAGAACAGAAAGATCAAATTATCTATGTTGATGAGTAGTTAGAGAGTTGATTCAGAGGATATACTTAATTCAAAGAGCATGTTGCTTCTGGACATTTGAATGCACAGGCCAAGACAGCAAACTGGAAGAGCAATCAGTGTCTGTATGGGACATAGAATCATATCTCATTTAAAACAAGACAGAACAGGGAGAGAAGAATCAAGCAACAATAGCAGTATCCACATGGACACGTTCAGGAAACATGAACAGAATTGATGTGGCAGATCAGAAAGAAATATAATAGTGAAATATTTAAAACAAGGGTAGCTTTTTGAGATGCATTGCCTTCTGAGATAGTGTGAAACAGACAAGAAGTTCCCAAAGTCACATTTGAATTAGGACACATCTTTAAGAGTCATATTGCCTTGATTGTGTTGTTACTGTGAAGTACATGGTGGAAGCACAGCTTCCTAAGTATAGACTGAAGAGGAAATACAAAGGTAATACTAGAAACCAGGCTTCCCAGGTGAAGCACTGAATACTTTCATGTGTTCTTTTCATTCTGCAGTGACTACCTTAGCTTTGGTTTCAGTGAGGGAGTAGGATTTTATTTAAAAAAAAAAAAAAATGCCCCTGCACTGAGATTATCAGTTAATTCAATTTAATTGTCTACGTGACAAGTTAAGGAAATGAAAGTTTCTAATTTTGGGAAACTAAAAGATTAAGAAAAAATAAGTTGAACAACTCAAACTGAAAAACTCAGGGATCAGGAATCAGAGGCATTTGGCACTTCTTCATATCAGAGGTATAAAAATCACCTCAGATGTAACTGGTTGAATAAAAATATCAAGTAAATGTTGTACATGCAGCTAAGAATAGAAGTTAAACAAGTTAGAAAGTATAAAACTTGCAGTATTATCAATGGTAAAGTTGAGTTAAATTTTTTTGAGGTTTGTTTTCCTGGAATTTTTTCCTTCTTAGTAGAAAAAAAGCAGCTATTCCATGGCCAAGACGGTTCAGCATAGTAACATGGCAGGGGAAAAAAACAAAAAAGGGCATATATTTTCAAAGATATTGAACATGTGACAAGGGTGAGATGACTAGTGAGAATGAATGTTTGAGAAGCACCATATCTGATTTAGAATATCTAATTTAGAATTGCAAGCAAAAAAAATCCTGAAATGCATTAAGATCAGATTACTGGCTGAGGCAGGAGAAGAACCTAGATGTGAAAGAACTGACACACAGAATCAAAGTTCTCCTGGAAATGTTTTTAAAACATAAAATAATCTATTATTTATTCCTTTCTACCATGTGTCTACCATTCATTCTTAGCAGTTAATGTCATCCATATGCTAAGCTAAAAACATTATCAACACCATCTGTTTGGTGCACACTCTCTATATCTTTAATGGCTATGTTTGGACATATTCCTGTTTGTATGGTCACATTATATAATACTACAAGTGTCTTGTTTATATGTATGTGTATTCTTTCATTTGATGGACAACAGACATCCTGCTAGTCATTCAACTATCTTGTTAGACACATTCTCAACATTCCCATAAATTCTATTCTGTTGTACATCTCCGATAGTCATCAGGCTTCTTTTCAGGCAAACCTGAAAAGATTCTAGCTTAGATATCCCAAGTGAAATCTCATAATAGATGTGCCCTTTGGATACATTTTAGAATGATGTTTGTGTTCTTCTCAGAATTTCACATGGAAACTTAAAATCAGCCTACAAATCATATAATAAGTTTTGCCTTGGTTTGAAGGAAACACGTTTGCTATGAGTTTCTAATACTGTAAGCTCACATGAGTACAACTTACTGTTTAATTTTTGCTGGCCACTTATTTTGCCCATAGTGATATTTCTATATGTTACTTGCTCCCAATTTTATATCATATAGAAATTTCACTTGTACACTCCTTGATTTTATGAAAGGCTACAAAGTAATATTAACGATTGATTCTGACACTGATAATTGAAAAACATCACCAGTAACTTCAGTCTAGACTGAAGTGTTTGCTTTCCAACTAGCTCTTTCAGTTTATCCTCCAAGGAATTGCTTCCTACATTTAGAATGTCTCTTCCAGTCCTCTTTTCCAATGTAATGATATGATGCACAAAATGTAATTACATGCATACAAAGAAAGGCTGTGGACCTTTGTATCTAAAGTGCTGGACAAATGACCCTGTGCTTCTCTGCAAGACTGATAGCAGACTGCTACATAATCTACCACTATAAGAATCCCATTAATTAATCCAATCCTGAACTAAATGTATTGCTAATGGTAAGCTAAAGGAGATGGAGTGCCTTACTTGTGGGATATAAATAGTTGTTAGCAAGGTGAGACTGGAAACCCCAAGGATTGATCAAGGATCTTAACCAACAGAAGCATCAAATGGGAGAGACAGGAGGAAGAAAGAATAACATAGCACTGGGAAAGTGAATTCAAGCTATAATGCAGTTACAGAAGTTCTTCAGAGAAATGAACTGTTTCATAAAGAGAAGAAACGCTGGTTTATCTAGTAAATGAAAAACTGTGAGGCAATCTGATTGTTGTCTATGAACCACAGGAGGGTTATGAACCTGTCCTGGGAAAAGTATGCTAAACAAACAAAAAAGGACGGAATGATAAAAAGTGGGAATAGATAAAGGTTAGACAGCAGGCAGGGGAGAATTTTTAACCTATGGCACGAGGTTCTGGAATAACATTCCAGCAAGGTATGAAAATGGGATCAGGTTTTGAGTTCAAACAGCTAATGACAAAGTCTGGAGCATCAGCAGAGAGATAAACACAATGAAGTGCGATGTTCATGTAGGTCTTGTGTTTCTAAATGACATAAAGAATGAACTGTCATTAAACTGGAAAATAAAATTTCTACTGTCTCACTCATGTCAATAGTATTATTGAAAGATATGGGGAACTTTTGAACTCAGGGAGAGGAGAAATACATCTAAAGTGGGAGAGGTCTGTTATAAGAAATATCATAAGCAATAAGCACTGAAGTCTGAGAAGGGATGAAATATTTAAGCCTTTGCACATTGCTTTATATTTCTTACAAACATTACCAAGAAAAGTCCACACAATTAAATACACAAAAATAAAATCCCTTTGCTAATAATCTCTGCAGCTGATCCTCAGAATAATAAGGTTGCAAATAAAATTCATTCTGATCCTCCACAACACTATAAATTGGCTCTGTATTTACCTTATCCATCAAGGTTATTGATCTCAAAAATATGACCAAGAAAGTGACTTGTTTGTTCCTGATTTGAGCCAGATGTATTGTAGTAATTAACTAGGTAAGGACTCCCTGGACTGACTAATTTGCTCAAAGTTGCCTTTGCAACCACCTAGATTCAATTGTGTAAAACTGAAGCCATGGGAGACTAGGTACCACCATTTGGAATCAGATGCCCAGCACTAGGAGAAAGCCCTCATGGGCTTTATCTTGAAGCATGCTTCAAGATAAGGCTGAAGAAACATGTTTTTTAAATGTGTCTTTAATCTATGTCTAATTGGCGATTAGACAAGACCTAGTATAAGATGCAGCCACACATACAGACCATTTGTACCAGTCCACAGCATGACTGTCCCTCATTCTGGATCTCATAAATGAAGGAAGAAGATACAGAACATATGGATGTGCAAACAAATCTGAAGTACTTCCAGCTAATAACCTACTGACTGAATGCTTGCTGCTTAACCAAGGAATTGTGTTTCTGGCTGCTTTCAAAAACATCTTTCTCTTCAGTAGCTGTAAGCATAACAAAGACAGGCTTGGGAACACCTGCGACTCTCTCTTCTGCCGTTCACTTCCATTAAGTGGCTCTACTGAGCCTGTCCAAGCAGATCAGCTAATTACACCTAATGCTCCGGTGCCCAAAGGATTGCCCCCCTGAGGGGAAACATCCCCCGCTGGTGCCACTTGAAGGAAGGTTTACAATGCTGGTGATGCCTGAGCAAGTTTAGTGATTTTCTAAGAAGGTCCAGAGTGCAACCTGCCCCTTGAAGTGTTTCAGAAACGTAGAAGGGCTGTACAGTATCAGGCTTCTTCATTCCCTTGATAAAGTGCCCTTTGGTCATGGCCAAGTATTAAAAAACTTGGTATTTAGCTGCATTTTCCCATTAGGGGGGCTATACAAAATACAGCTTGTTTACCTAAAGCAGCCGTGGGTTCCAGTTTTAGACAACAACTTAAAAATGCTTCATCTATCTACCTCAAATTCTCTCCAGAGGAGTTACCTCTTTAAGCACAAGCCAACTTGAGACATTTAAGTAGAAGCGAGTTTTTCTAATAAAGAAACATTAGTGAAGTAGTAGAATTTACATGACAGGTAAAATATTCTCTACTGTTCAGAAAAAAAACACCTGTTTACATTCCATGTTTCCATTTTAACAGCTGCTGTGGTCAGTGAAAGTTTTTACACTGACAACAAGGTGAATGTGTTTGATCATTTATTATGGCATTAGCTGGATAACAGATCCCTTCCGAGATGATCATATGCTCTTCTCACTTAGTCTGGGCTTTTTCCGCTGAGGAAAACCTTCACCAAGCATGGTGCAATTACTTTGTTTTATCTGGAGATAAAAGACCTGCCTGTTTTGTGAATATCTTGGCTTTAAATCACATAGCATTAAGGGAAAGATGATTATTTCTTCTTAAAACAATAAAGCAAGAAAGTCTAATTTAATGTTGCATTACATGGTACATTGAGAGCAGTTTTACATACAAACTTCTTTTAGCAATGGCAAAGATGTGTACCTACCTGTGAATTTTTGTAAGCCTTTATAACTAGTACAATTTTGAATCTAGCATCTGCATTAAAGATAGAAAAAACTAAGAAATAAAAAAATAACATTTTGTATATGGGGCTATAGCAAAGAGGGTCCTCATTAAGGGCTAATAGATTTGTTTATTCAGGGGATCTACATTTTTAAACTGATAGAAACAGCTGTAATCATAGATGTCACAATGATAACTCATAGAATTTTCACTTGAACTACCCACAGGAATTTTAATTTGCAATAGTTTAACTGAACTGGTAAGCCATTAGAAAAGGGAAATACAGGACAGTTTTGTATAGGATTTCTTTTGCATTGTAGAAAGGAAGGCATGACATTTGAACTAACTTTTAAGTAAATGTTGTGTATTTGGAAAGTAGTCACCATGGTTTAAAAGGTTGCAAGTATCAACTATTTCTGGAAACTGATATAGAATGCTATCTCAAACAATGCTGAACATTGAGAAACAGAGAGAAATAATGATTCTCAGAAATAGGTATATGTACAGAAAACAATATGAGATACAAGAATGCAAGAAAATGACTACATTAATGTGTCATTATGGGACAGAGAGAGGAAAAAAAAAGCCTTTGAAACCAGCATGAGTGAATAAGCTGTATTAATTTTAAGTTTAAAAACTTCATAGGAACAGAACCATGTAGATTTTTATATCACTAAGAAATGAAAGGAGATTATGAAGAATAATAAAGAAGCAAAAAAGAAGGAAAGGTACATTTTATGCTCATGCTTTTGTCCAAGATGAGAATTGGGAACCACTACTGCAAGAAAAGGCATTCTATTTGCAGCTTCAAATATGCTGTTGAGTGAACAGAGATTAGCGTCATACTACTGCTACTGTTCTTAAAAAATATGACTCAACAAAGCTGCAAAATGATCTCCATTCTAAACCAACTAAAATTCTTATGGACATCCATAACTGTAACAAAATTATTTCCTTTTTTTTCTGGGGGTGTTGAGATCAAATACATACTGTGCCATGTAGCTCATGTAGGTAAAGCAGGATGAGGTGCCTACCAAGTCAGCCTACAGATGGAAGCTCTCTCTCCTTCCAGAGTTCCCCTTCCTAGGAAGAAATTTTAGCAATATCCCCCTTCTTTCCTACATTTCCCACAGAATCCCTCTTAGATCTGAGATCTGCTGAGCATGGGGCATACAACAAACTTTGAAAATACATTTTCTTCTTGCATTCTGACCTGTCTGTCACCAAGAGGGACAGGACATCAGAATAGCCTTGTTCCATCAAGTTGGTAAGCATAGTGCAGCACAGCACTACTTATTTCTATCAGAGTGGAATAGTCCAGAAGTTTGCATCTCTATTCATATTAGCAGACCAAATTCAAGCAACAAAATTGCTCATTTGGAAAAGATTTTTCTTACCTTCTTCCTCTAAGTGGTGATCAGTGCCATCTCTTAGATCTTCATCCACCCATGGGCGAGATATGGGCTTGCTTCTAGTGTCACTTTTTTCCTTCTCTCTGTTAGTCTTCTTCAGTATTACCCCAATCAAAACACATATAATTGCTATGAAGACTGGAGTTAAGGAGGAAAATAATGTCATGACTACGGAAATGTGGAGACTTCCAAGTTCAAGTTCCTCTTCTGAAAAGGAAAAGATGAAATGGAAAGCACAGAACGGCAGTAAGCAGAAAGGGGTGGACCCAAGGTTCCCTCCTCGACCCTATCTCACTTCTGCTTTTCAGCCACTGCCCCCACAGTCTCCTCTGTGACGTTCTTCTGTGGTTGAGCAGACCCAGATTTAGCTATTTTGAAGTAAAAAAGTAACAAACTGCTTACAAACAACTAGCAGAGGCACTGACCATGTACTAACACATAAATGCCGACACGTGTAAAATAAATAAAAAGATCTTCCAAAATCCCAGCCTGAGGCAGAACGCTCCTTCCCCTTATTTTTTCAGTTACAGTGATCCCAGTAATCTTGCTTGTAACAACATGTATGAGAAAGAGCCAAGCAGGAATGTGACTTTTAGAAACTGATGACATCTCTTCAATGTTTAACACAGAATACTTAGTAATATTACACAGTTCCCAGGAAATCAGAGTATCACCAAGCAAACACGGGCTTGCAGTGCCACCCTCGGCTGTGTAAACAGGTCGATATAAAAGATAAGTGAAGTGGTAGCATTACTTCAGCAAGAAGTATGAATTAGTTTGTGCACAGAACCCTGTATCCATTCTGAATGGCCTGGGGAAAAAAAAAAGAAAGAAAGAAGAAGAATTCAGGGAGTAAAAGTAAGAATGATCTGAAGCTTGGAAATCTATTCTGTGGTGAGTTTTAAAACTGTGACTCAGTTATCTTATCAAAAGATTAAAAAGCAATAGGATCCTGGACTAATCCAAGAATGGTCAATGTCTAACCCATTTTTAACTCAGTCAGCTGCTTCGGAACTGAAACAACATAGTAGCATGGAATTAGAGTCTTTATCTGGGACTGCTGGGCCATGCTGCATAATAAAGGGTCAGGTGGCAACGGAGAGCAGGGTGCAGGAACCGACTGCACGCAGTTACCAGAACCTACCAGCTCTTTTAGCACCATATAAGCATCAGCCCTGCCAAAGCTTATCTCACACTGCACAGGGTCAGCTTTGAAGTCTCTGCATGTTAAACTGTATTTTGGATAACCCATGTGGGATAAGTGAGAGCAGTCTATAGAGACAAGTCCCCACGCTCAGCGTGCCCTTCTGGGGTGGGCTGCAAACCCTCCCTAGGGTGACCTCCCTCCGTAACCCCCAGATGAGTGTGTAATTCCATCAGAGATGAAATAAAAAGGACATAGAAAAACTGTGTTTATGTTGCTAATCTAATCCAGTAAAACTGGTGATAGACAGGCATCTGCCTCTGGTTATGAGGGCAACCTACTTGAAAACCTGAGCCATTAGTCTTCTTTTCCAGTCTCCAGTCCAGATATGACCTGGGTCATATGGTTGGGTCATTGATGCTTGATTTCCTGTAAAATATTAATTAATTAAAAAAACTCATCCTTTACAGGAATAGAAGGGAAAACTACAATCATGTAGGAAAAAAAGAGTTAAATTTATCCTCTATTTCCTTAATTTAGATATTTAATTTCATTTGTCCTCCCTGCTGGCCATCCAGTCAAGGAAGAAATACTTCACCTACTCCCAATTGGAAACATCAAAATTGTTTGTGTGAGTAGAAATGAGCCTACAGTTACATCAGACACTTTTTTGTCAGCCCATTCTATGGCAGAGAAGGAAAGAGAAATGTAATCTGAATGGCACTGACTATTTCTCCCACAGGGAACACATTCTTGTTAACCTTGAATATTCACATACATATAAATTAGCACCTGGATGCTTAGCAGCTGAGAATCCATCCTGCAGAGAGAAGGTCCATTCAGAAAGAGAGAGAGAGAAACAATAAGGAAGGTTGAATTCTATTGTTTAAAATAACTACTTCTATTTGCAGTGCTGGGAACCTTGCAATCTCTCACTCTTCCAGAATAACTTTCACTTTCTTAGAGGTGATGAGATATTAGTTTTTCTCTTGTAAAGGAGAGAAAGAAAGAAAACTAAATAAAATTCCATTTGGTATTAACTCAGACAAAGCCTGTATTTGGTGTTATATATTCAAATTTCTTAACTCAAATTTCAGCTCCACAGAAATCCCACAATACCTTGTTTTATTAAATTGTGATATAGTTTCAATAACTCCATGCTGCAGACACTTCAAAAATAAACACGGTGATACTCTGAGGAACTGTGGGAGTGGTGGGTGGACACAGTCAATTTGTATATAGTAGAATTTAATCAGTTTTTCTAAACACACTGCTGGATTTTCTTCAATCCATGCTTTACGTTATTATTATCATGATAAGTTCAAGCAAATTTATTGCCATTATTTCCTCCTTTTTATGGTAAGATCTAAAGCCCAGCAGCTGGATATTTTATTTTGTGATTTTCAAAATAGTCAGGAGAAACACTGCAAATACTCCTACACCTACAAATTAAGCTTTTCTGACAAGCTTAGAAAGAAGACAAGAATTCAATAGCTATTGTAAACACCAAATAACCAAAATGTTAGTGCATGAAATCCTTATTAACATTCTTAAAAGATACAATCTTCATACAAAAGTTTTTGGACCAAACACTCTTTATTATATATTTCCTATTGAATTCTGTGCTTAGTTGTTGTTCTGGAGAAATGAATATATTCAAATATCAAATATGCTCCTTTATTTATCTCAAAGTAAATATGTGTTAAGAGCAAATGTTATTCATAGGCTGCAAGGATACATGTGCATGGTAGTGCAGTGCATTAGCACTGTTCTAAGCTGTTGTGACTCCGCTTCTGAGGGTAGTGGGACTGACTGACTCTGCTATTTCACCATCCTGCTGTAACTGCACTGAGTGGGAGCAAAGACACCTTTCAGCACTCAGACATGAGCTCTGAGTTCCACAGCTCTGCATCCCCTGTTTTTTTCCATCACAGCTGTGATCTCAGCATATCCCTCTCACCTTGCTTTGGAGAGCTTTAGGGCATTATTATGAGGCTAGGAAAAGACTGTTGAATGAATTCTTGTGTGAATACAGGCCCTTCCACCTCACACAGGCAAAAGATGGTAACAGAGCCTATAAATGCTCAAATGGATGTGTTGTCTGTATAGGATGAGTGTGGGCTACATAAAGACACAGAGTCAGAAGAGACAGAGACAGTGAATGGTCAGGCAGAAACAAAACCATCTGTACCCACACTCTTCCCTGTGTTTTTCTAACAGTAGTATTATTTATTTATTTATTTATTTATTTTAAGATAAAGTTAACTTATGAAGACATATGGAAGGAGAAAGCTCTTTGTGAAGTCCCCAGCCTTCTGGCTTTAGCTCATTTTCTACACATGGCTTTGGATAAACACAGGCTATAGCACTGGATGATCAGCAGAAAAAGAATGTTAACATGGAATATACAGGAGAACGGAGTAGGATGGAGATGGTAAGTACAATAAATACAGCACAAATCTGTGAGATAAAACACCTTGCTGTGTGCTATCTCCAGTTACCATGTCATGCCTGTCTTGCTGAACTTTATTAGTTGCACACATAGAAGGGAAGTGCGCACTATTCCTGATACTGGTCAGTGCACATGCTTTTGTTGGGACCATCAAATGACACAACAAGATGTGGCAGTGAGCATTTCCATGGACAACTTGCTGCAAACATAATTAAAAGGAAAACATGGCCATGGGAACCGTCTTAGATATGCAAAAATTTTTATGTTGGCATCAGTCACAGAAGTGAGTTCCAGCATGAAGTTGAGGTTTACTGAGAAACAAACAAAAAAATCTTATTCAAATACCACCCATGATCAGCCACCAACTCAGTACAGGCAAGGCAAAAGCACACACAAAATACTTAATCCAATTTCCCAATCAACACATAGAGACAAATGTCTGGGATCAGCTGAAACTTATACATCACCATTGGCATTACTAAAAATATCATTAGCTTGATAAGCATCTTCATCCCTGTGATACGTCTAGTGCATCCCTCCTGCCTCCATCAGCGACCAGCTCACAGCTCTTCTGAGCAAGGTGACCCTCAGTCTTCTGCTGTCTCTTTCCTTTTCTCCACTCCCCCATACAAATGTCTCCTTCCCTTCCCTGAGTCAGCTGCGTGATCTCTTCATGACCCCCTAGAGATATCAGATATCATGCCCTGTAGCATTAGATTTGATTATCTTTTTCATTAACTTAGCTCAGATTGCCACAAATGTTATTACTGCTTATGAACTAGCCTTTTGAAATCTAACAGTACAGAAGCTAATGCAATTACATCCCATAGCAATGAAAGCACGAGACAACAATGCAACAGAGTAATTCTTTCCGTTTGTCCTCAGTATAGCGCCCTTCAGTTGCAGGGCAGAAGAGATAACCGAACAGTAGACATTATGATTCATTAATACATTTTTAACAAAAATAGTCCATGTATTAGGATCCATGTTACCAGATATACATTACTCATATCTAAGGGAACCATAGCGGTCCTAAAAATATTTGTGATTTCAAAACATAACTTAAATCACGTACGTCCAACATGTGGCCCATATGCAGCCTGGCCCCTTACTCTTGCTTGATACAAGACCATAGGGAAAAGCAAGAATAATTAAAGGGCTATGCATATGGCTTATTCCATCTAGCACAGACAAAATATCTAAGCTATAAGTAGCCATCTAGCAGGTGGGAGTGCACATCCTAATACAAGCTACTACAGCCTCTTCACAGTAGGAGTGTTTAAGAACAAGGAAGGGGATGTCAGTGCCCTCCTCCCTATAGCTGGTAAGTTGAGAACGACTGATTCCAGCTAAAAGATCCAATCAAATGAAACCTCTGTATATTGGGCCAAAGAGGGAAAGGCAGTGTCAAAGTGCAGAGGCATAAGTTAAAAAGGCAGATGCTGGATGTGTGGCAGAAGCATGTATGTAGATACAGGTGAGCATGTAAATAGGCCTGAACCAGTTCTGTTGTCAGAGCCATGTAATTATAACAATGCCAAAGGCTTGAGTTAGCAGCTTACACAAGACTCAAGCAGCTCCCCATGCTGGCTCCCCTGCCACTACAGC